AGGTGATAACCAGACAGTAACACACAGACACGTGCAAAACCATGTAAACCGTCCTGTGATGCATCCTATACACGTACTAAGACAACTAACTCGCGGTTAAAGCCTCGATGTAGCTAAACCTATTTTTCACAAGGGACAGTTTTTCTTTGTTTTCTTTTCATGATCTGTGGTTTAGTTAAACTCGACCTCCCCACCAGTCATGTTTTCAGTATGGTTGTACTGGAGGCCACATGCGGGAGGGACTAACCACAGTTTACTGTCGTCTGTGATCAGATCTCTTCTCCAGCGGCCCACCATGACTCCCAGAGCAACCTCCGCAGCAGAAAGGAAGGAGCGCTGCAGAAGATCGGAGACTTCCTGCAGAGCTCCCCCACGCTGCTCGGCACTAAAGGTCAGTGTGTCGGCGTGAGGTATCTAACTTTTATCTGGCTGTGAGAGTAAAGGGTAGCAGTAGCAGATGCATATATTTCAGGCATAAAGAGGAGTTTAAATATGATAAAGCAACATACATATTCATATTTCAAACCAAAATACATTTAAATCAAATTGAAGACACCATTTAAGTAAAATCAGAAAAGGCTCTCCAATATACTGCAAGTGTGATCATGATATTAAAAAGTTACATCAACAGTACTTCATTTAAAAGTAGTGATGATTACTTGCTTCTTCAGGTCCATTGCACTGGGTGACATGTTGCTTAATTACCATGAACACAAACAGTTGTTTATTTTCAATCAGTCCCGCACACATTGTGATGCTGCCACAAATACTCAATAGAGGACCACATGTGCATTAATCTGCCACTGAAAGTAGTCCCCAACAGATTCACTATGTCCTCAATTTTGAAACTATATATTTGTGTTTTTTTTAAAGATTTATGTCTTTAGTGCCACAGACTGGAAATGAAAATCAGAAAATGTTGAGATGAATGAACATTGTTGCAGAGCTTTCCATAAGCGCCGATTACTCGTATGTCTAGCTGGCTACTTTATTTTTTTTATTCTAATAATAATAATACATCGATTTTCTATAGCGCTTTTCAAAATACCCAATTATGCTTTACAGGGCAAAGACAAACAGAACAAAAAAAGAGACAGAGGAGCAAACAAAACAAACAAACAGAACATTTTGGTTAAAAAAAAAAAAGAATAACTGGAGAAGCTGTGTGGAATGGGAGGGTAGGGTGCAGGGGTTAGCAGGTGAAGGAGAGGTTGAAGAGGTGGGTTTTGAGGGCTTGTTTGAATGATGATAGGGAGGGAGCCTCGTGGATGGGGAGGGCGTTCCAGAGGGGAGGTGCAGCAGCTGAGAAGGCCCTGTCACCCCAGGTCCGGCCGGCGCTTCGTCCTGATGGTCTTCAGAGTGTTTGCACCGGTGGACCTGAGGCAACGGGTTGGGGTGTGGAGGGGGAGGAGGTCTGAAAGGTAGGGAGGGGCCAGGTTGTTTAGGGCTTTGTAGGTGGTGAGTAGTATTTTGAAGTCTATTCTGTATTTGACCGGGAGCCAGTGGAGGTTGCAAAGGACCGGGGTGATGTGATCATAGCGGCGGGTGGAAGTGAGCAGTCGAGCAGCAGAGTTCTGAACATATTGGAGTTTATTGAGGATTTTGTTGGGAGAACCGTAGAGGATGCTGTTGCAGTAGTCGAGTCTGGAGGTTATGAGGGCATGGATGAGAATTTCGGTGGTGGCAGAGGACAGGGAAGGTCGGAGGCGTTCAATGTTCCTGAGGTGAAAGAAGACAGTCTTGGTGATGTGGTTGGCGTGGGGTAGGAAAGAGAGGGTGGGGTTGAGAATGATACCGAGGTTGCGGACATGGGTGGAGGGGGTGACGATGGAGCCATCAATGCTGAGGGAGAAGGACTGGGCTGAACGGGTGAGGGAGTTAAATAAATAAACGTTATTCTAGTTTTCATTATAAAGTTGAGATTGGCTATGAGTGCACATTTTTTTAAACGACTGGCTTTTACTTCGATCAATGCGAGCATGATGCTAGAGAGTCATGCCCCTGAATAATCTATGTGAATGTGTGTGTGCAAGCTCACCTGTGGAGTCACTTTCAGTTTGATTATTATTATTAGCTAAATAATTGATGACAAAGCACATGAAGAATTGCATTGATTGCACAGAAATAGGAAATCCTCAGAACTGAGTGTGTGTAGGCTGTGCGTCAGCCTCACTGTAGTTTAACATTACAACATGTCCTCACCACTGAGCCCACACACACACCAGAGCTTCCTCTCTAATGCATTGTGATGCATTCTATTCATTCACCTTCAGTCAATTACTGATGGCGTCCAGGAGGTAATCTCATGGCCCAGGTGGGTTTTTAGAATGTCACAGAAACACAACGTAGGACACACAAGGACAAGTTTTGTCGGAGTAATTTATTGAAGGATAACAACGGGTTGGAAAAAGTAACCGGGCAAGGGCAGCCGAGTTTGGGACACTAATGATGGCTTAAAGGGGGAAGTTAAGACGGGGAACACACTGGAATCAACCAGTCATCTCTTGAGTTCTACCCTCCGGGACGGTTTCACTCGGTCAATTAATTGTTGCCCTGGGGTTCTGACTCAAGGTTGCTGTCGCCATCTGATACTCCCTCTCTCTGCTTGCTGTTTTTTCCCCCTGTCCCTCATCGTCTTTTATCTCATCGTTATTTACTTCCACCAACACATCAATCTTTTCCCTTTCCCTCCATCACTCACTCCTTCTCTTCCTCCATTGTTCTTTCTCTGTCCGTCCCTGTTACTGCTGATCTTATCCCACCTCCCTGTCCTCTCTTTCTCTGTTTCCTGTCCTTTCCTTCCTATACCCTTCAGTCTCCTCCTCGGATTGTTCCACCTGAACGTTAAATTGAAGGATAAAATAACTTTTAATGGTTAACCATTTAATAACATTAAATGGTTAACCAACATGAAATTATGTAATAAATATGAAATATTGATCAAGTTCCTCGTCTTTAATCGTCTCCGTCTCTGCAGCCAAGAAGATGATGAGTCTGGTGAGCGGTCGGGGTGATGCTGACTCAGCAGCCTCCTCTTCCTCCCTCAGTCTGAGAGCAAAGAAGACCAAAAAGAAACTCTTCAGGCCTGAAATCTCCTCCCCCATGGACATGCCCTCACACCCAGTAAGTGTCATGAAACATAAGCTTATTACGCCAACATGCCCAGTTCAGCTGGGTAACTCAAAACTCTTTTTATAGGCTGTAAATATATGTATATATTCATAAATAATATTGCCATTGGCAGTTTTAATTGTGTACACTAAGCTGCTTAGAGGTAGAGTTAGGAAGTTAAACTGGTCATAATTACCTCTAATATCTGTTTTATATTGCTGTGATATACTGTATTCAAGTTTTTCATCAAAACTACATTTTACAAGATTACATTTGAACACATCACGATAGCAGTAATTCACTTTCTTCCATACTTGTTTCTACTGAATGAGGCCTGAATGCACCGTAATGTAACTGAATGGAACCAATGGAACAGCTGTTATAATAACAGCAGCTGATAGCGGCTGCTGCCAAAGTTACTACTCTCCTCCTGCCCATTTGTTGTGCACAGTGTAGCAATATCAGGGATGGCTGACTAGACAACATTAATGCCGATCTCCAGATTGGCACTGAAGCTTTTTTTTTTTTTTTTCGGACTGTAGCAACCACCAAAGCCTATTTAGTCCCGCCCCTGTTTCATAACGAGCTGAAAAAATGTTTACACTCTTTAACGGCAAGCAACTCCGGCCGTGTCCGCTTTGCGCCTTTCTCTTTACCCGGTTTACTGTTCCATGTCATCACCTTAATATCAATAACAACCAATGTGTTTATGATTACATGTACTAGTGCGCAGTGTAAAGGAACTCTGTTACAAGTAAAAGTTTTGCATTCAAAATGTTGCCTGTGTAAAAGTGTAAAAGTAGCCCGTTATCTTTCAAATGTACTTAAGTACTCACTGACTCATAGGAAACTAATAGGTGTTTCTGTAGACATCGGATCAGTGCGAACCTTTACACTCCTGTCACTAAAAGACTAAACATTGTTGATGCACTTTTTAATGGCGTTGGGTGATTCACTAAACTCATTTCTTGATGGTGTGATTGGACAACTGGATGGGGTCTGTGGCTCTAATAACAAATACACAATGTTTTAACGATTAGTTCTTTTCTTGTAGATGATCAGCAGAGAGCCGGAGGAGAAGGCGAGCGACCATCAGGTCCTTAAGAGGCGTCTTCGCTCCAGGATGGTTAAATAATCATCATTGTTTTTTTGTAAACACTTTCTTAACTAAATGAAGGAAGCATTTAGCTGCTTATAAGTCTTGTTCTGTGTCACGGTGGTTGAAAAATCCCCAAACTTAACTTAGTTGTGTTATTTAATCTAAAAATCTATTTTATGAGTAAAATACTATAATTTCAGAATATAGCAAAGTCACTAATATACAGCTGGTTGTGTGGAAAGATGGCAGTTAATGTTTAACATTTTGGACAAGTACAGTTGTGTATATGTGGGCTCAGTGCGGAGCTGCATCCAAGAGGCCTTCAGCTGAGTTCAGCATAAAGACTGGAAGCAGTTAGCTAAAGAGCTGCCTCTCTAAAGCTCACTAGCATGTTGTATTTGTGTTTGCTTAATTAATCTATCCACAAACACAGATGGAACAACAGTTGGTGGTTTTAGGGGGAGGTACACGCTGAAACTATATCATGCAACAGTTGATCCAGTATCTGAGCCAGGCTAGCCGTTGCCCGTTGCTTCCAGTCTTAATGCACAAACATGAGTGGTATCGATCTTCTCCCACAATGTTGAACCATTCCTTCCCCATACTGCTAAATAATTGAATTAACTTGTGTCTGGTAGATGCTATTTTGTCCACATTTACCATCAAATGACTCCAGAGTCACGACGTATACTCCGTTAGATAGTAAGCACTCTACATGTGTGTATCTTCCACACTTCAGACACAATATGCTGCTGTTTTTTTCTTTATTCTGATGTGCAATTGTTTATATTTGTTTATTTGATGCGAGTAAGCTAAAACAGTTAGTCATTTGACTAACTGTTTTAGTCATTCTGAAAGTGATCAACAAAGCTGCTAAATGTCTTACATTGTTCTCAGCAACTTAATGGTTCAGATGTTTGATGTCTCTGCCGTTTACTTTGTGTTCAGCTGTGAAACCTCTTCTCACTAAAGTCCTCCTGTGCACCTTTCTGTATTGTCACTACATACTTCTGTCATTCCATAATGTTTTATACCTTTGTTCTACAGGTCTTATTGGTCATTTCCCAAATAAAAATACAAAGCTGTTTTTCTTTGTTTCATGTTTTTTTTTAATGCAAGATAAGTTTCATTTATTTATGTTCTGAGATTGTCGTAATGTATTACTATTATATTTTATTCCCTAATTATTATAATTGATAATCAAATCAAGTAGTAGCAGTTGGGCATTATCTTTTGTCTCGTACATTTCTGTGTTGAAACTGCAGTGAAGAACACTCACTGCGTAGACGTGAGGAGAGCTGCTGCTGACAGCGAGAGCCCCGACTGGCTTGTGTTGGCGGTGGACTGCTGCCGTGTGTGTGTGGGCACAAATAAAGAAAATATTTTTCAGTAAAGAAGTATTGAAAAGTGTTCAAGGAAAACCATTAAACCAAGAGAAAGAAGTGTTGACCAGAGAGGTCAGGTTGGAGCTCAACGCAAAGAATAATGTTTAGAACCCTGCGTGTGTTAAACCAGATATTTCCATCGCTACGTTCGTGTTAAGTCCTTCCTTAGTTCTTAGTAGCTACGAGTTAACTTCAAACTAGTGATTTACTGAATTGAGTTGTACCACTACAATACAGTACTGTTGTGTGTGAGAGCCGAACTCTCAGAACTAGTTTGTACAAAGTGTTGTCCGACCACGCTGGAAGTCAGAAGTGGTATTAGTTGTTCTGGAAGGCGAGACTGATATTGTTTGAATATGGGGATAAGGGTGCACATTTTCAGACGGAAGACAGTCATAGTGTGGCATTTGATTGTTCGCATCAAGTGACCAAAATACCCACCGATGTACGGACAACTTTCAGTGGATTACTTCAATTCTGACGAAAACTTAAGTGTGATGGTTCTGAAGCACTTCTCTGTGACGTCTAAGCAGATTTAAGGATGTTGGAGATAATGTCAGTCACAGAATGATGAACATAAGATTCTAATCTGAGAACAAGTCCAATTATTAACCTCAAGTATTAACTTTTTCCCAGTGAAAGTGTCCCCTTAAACTCTCTCTAGTCTAATCTCTAGTATGTCACAATATCACAGTATTGCATGACTTGTAAAAACTTCAGTGTAGAAGGTCATGAAAAGTGTCATATTATTGCATGTCTTCACAATGCACCATAGCATAATGATGCTATATATAAAGAAAAAACACTAGCTAATCCTGATCTCTCCAAAGATGTTGAATGTGTGCAGAGACGAGCAGAAGGGAATGACGGGGCACAAGCAACGGATAAAATTTAAAGTTGCAATATGCAACACTTAAACATAAACTGTACATTGTCAGCCTGTGAACGCAGCTAGAGTGTAGTGACTGAGGCAGAACTTCCACTGACATTGGGAACACAGATGTTGTGCAGATGTCACCTGCCACTTTCTGAGGGGATGTTGTGAAGCCTGGGGGTCACCACTGACCACCGCCTCTGTCAGGTCATGGAGCCAGAAAATCGAAAGGGACGCATGAGCGGAGCTGCAGTGAGACCAGCAAACAACATGGCTGACTCTGAAGAAGAGATTGGAAAAAACAAATGTACAGCAGATAGGAATTAAAGGAAAATTCTATTTTTGTACAACCGGGGTCTTTTACTTGTTTTGTTGATGGTGTGAAGTCGCTGAAATCGAGACGAACAAGGCAGGAATATAAGTGGCCATATGATCCCAGAGGTGGTAAATAAGAGAGCAGTTAAGTAACAATACCAGAAAAATGCATAATTTCTCATCTGATCTTGGTACAATGTTAACGGTTTCAATACTATATGATCACAAAGTTCATTTGACAATTAAAAGGAGTGACAAGTGGCAGAATGAAGACTGTTACACACTACAGCTTCAACATGGAGTCATGAAGCGGAGACATCAAGCACACACCAACTGTCATCATGGTGGCAGGAGGACAAATTTGCATGTGGTTCTGTGATTATTAAGGTATGAATATGAGGTTTTGAAACAGCTGCAGTCTGCATTTTTCTGCCTCTTTGTCACATTATTGCTGCCAGAAACATTCCATGCAGCAGAATGCAGAAGCTCTCCGTGTGTCAGAAAGACTTTAATCCAAAGACATCACTAAGAAGGGAGCATCATAATCACCATACAATGGGGGGGGAGAGAATGACAGCCACAGAGGGTAAATGGGGAGAAAATAGAAGGAAGGTGGGGTAAAAAAAATAAATCGGGGAAAGGAGAGTTTACAAAACATGAGACAAGAGGATGAGGGTGATTAAGGATGGCAGAGAAGGTTTAACTAAGGACACATCCATCCGCAACTGAATCTTTCTTTTTCTTTCAGCTCAGGAACTCGTTCGGAGGATGGAGAGAAAAGAAAAGCAGTCCTGTATTGGGTGAATGATGGAGAGGCTGCCATGAGGCAATTTTAGTACTCACTTCCCACACAGCTGGGCCTTTTGTGCGGTCTAACAGCCCGGCCTTTCTGTGCACAATCCACAGGAACAGGAACAAGGACGTGTACGTGTGGAGTTCACTATACATTTCATTTATATATTTTCATTACTCAGACTCGGAGGTGGGACATAGTCATTGTGTTACAAGTCACAATTAAGTCTCAAGTCTTTGCACTTATTTCCTAAGTCAAGCTCCAAGTCCTAAAATTTGAGTTTCGAGTCCTAAACAAGTCAAATGGGTTCTTTGCCAAGTATAATGCTGTTTTAACAGCAAAGAAAGTGGCCCCAACTAGTGCTCAGTAATGTAACAGGTCTTTGATTTCTCCTGCAACTTGATTGGATTCTGTTGGATTGATTCAAACAAAGTGGATCTGGGGAATTAAGTATTGACTTGCTGGGAGAATTAATAGCTTTAACGTTAGTTAATTAAGGAAATTAAGGAAAACAATTGATTTGTGGTGCACCGGATCGCCTATATATTATTCAGGTGCCAGCCAGAGTTACTTCCGACAATTCAATGTTTACATTTTTTTACGGTCAATGGATACTCTGTCATGAACCCACTTCTCTTAAATCAGTACCACTGGACAGAGTGCAGGCAAATAATTAATAATATAAAATAAGGAATAATTAGAGCAACAATGCAAACTCAGATGATCAATATGAGAGTGTTTTGGAGATATAATGTGAAACCACGCCCAACAAAAAGAAATGTCCTGTACAAGTAAGTCCTATTAATCAAATGCAAGAGTTTTAAAAAAACAAGGACAAAAACCTTAGGGCTGATAGAGCGAGGCTTGAGTTAAGGCTAATTGTTATATAACTATGCAGTTAACCACAACAGCTACAGGGACCAAGTTCTGTTTGAGAGGATTTTTGTTAGATTTAAGTTTTGTGGAAAGCCGTAGGAGGGTAGAAAACAACAAATCACAGGGTTATCTCCTTTTCCCTCAAACAGGTGTTGGTCATCTGCAAAACCCAGATTTCAATTTTAGTTCATCTCCTTTATACGATCCATAATAATGTCATATTTTGAGACTGTTTTCCATTTCCTGCTCATCTGGCTTTTTTCCTCAGGAACAAGAACAAAGTGAAGAAGTAGGTGGTTACCATGAGCAGTGATGGCACAGAGCACAAAATATGTGACTGCAATATAATTTTATGCACAGGGATGATTAGAATGTTCTATTATGAAACATTTAAATACACTCAGCAGGGGGAGACATTCATGTGTTTCAGGCCCGCAGGTCCTTCATTCTTCTCTTATTTCACCTCTCTTTAAAACATAAAGGTGGGATTGAGCATCATTTCCTGGTGATAAATGTGCCATTCACATTTAGAATAAACTTAAATCATGTTCAATTTAATGTGCTTTCAAGTCTTTGAAGTTCGTCTTTTCCACAGGTAGCCTGTGTGTGTCATTACAACATGTTGAGGGGAAGACAGGAGGCCGTTATTTGCATAGAAGCACAATGTCTAAAAGATTCAGGAGAAGGGAGTAACACCACGAAGGTGTTTGAAGGTACATTTGATACACTGAACACCTGCGTCAAAGCAGATTTATTCATAGCTTAGCAGGTTTGTCACAAAGTGTTCTTTACCAACGACACATAAATTGAAAGAAGAGGACATCACAGCGGCTCTGATGTGGAACTGTTCAAACACAGAAGCTTAAATTCTTAAATTATATTTAATTTGAATCTATTCTCATCTAAGATCGTCTTTATCCATCTGGACCAAATTACCCCAAAACCTCAATGTCCTTTAAATAGCTGTTATCTTCACACGGGGACGTTAACCCGCTGAAACTGGATTTTCACAGCAGCAGTAACAGGACAATGCCAGAAAACACACAAGATGGAAGGAGCTTTGAAGGAGCTTAGAGGTGTTCACATAAATATGGGGTTAACAGTGCAGAACTAAGAGCCCTTTTTAAACACAGTTTCCCACTTTAGGACACTTTAGGACTGAAGGTCCTGATGCTGATGTATAAAAGTTGTGACCAGAAACTATGTTCAACAATCGGATTGGAATCAGAAAAGCAATTTATGATTTGTTTATGGGTTACAGAGGGCTGACTCGTCCTCAAAATTCAAACGAAAGAAGACAGCAAAAGATTTCTCAGCAGCAATTAGAGAAGCTTTTATTACGCAACAGGCCTCGCCGACCTGTTACCACATTCTTTATTTGGAAATGTGAATCTAGAGACGCGTCCCAAAAGAGCCATACAGATAGAAACTTCCATTTTTAGGTGTCTCGATGCCGTTCTTTGGTGCCACAGCTCAAAAGACATTTTTGTCACACGGTGAAACAAAAACCACAGTACCGGAGAAAACAGGCCGAGCGAGCTGCCTAAGTGGGACTGAACAGCCGCCCCGGCAGTGCTGTTTCTGTGCTGCTCTCTAATGGGCTGCCTCACAGCAGAGATGGAGGAAGAGGTGCTTGACAATCTCATTAGAACCCAAATATTTTTGACATTTTCTGAAAAACAATGACAGTGGTTTGTCTCAAATTGGTCCCTCGCAGGAGAGTTGCCAGCTGTCATTCAAATAGTCATCACCCAAAACCATGGATCTCCTCTCTGCTTTAAAGAAAACAAATTATGCTGTCAATAAAAGACAAGTATGTCACTACGTTACTTATTTC